TGGATTTGGGATTCATTGAATAATTGTGAAAGGGGAAAAAGGGTTCCTAATTAGACTCTTGATTGAGGTGCTCGTATTGAGAACTAGTATTATTAGCTATTTGGTTGTGCGCATCACAATAGTTTTTCCCCCTAAGTGGTATTAGAGTAGTAAGATTTAAAGGCATGGGATTCAGTGAGAAGTCTCTTTTCGAAGGAGATTCGATGGATAGAACTTTGGTTTTTGAAGATGCRAATGAAAAACTACTTGACATGCAAAGAGATGCATAAAACCTTGAAGGAACTACAAGCTAGGATAATAAATAAAGAATGTGCAGAAACGGATGAACAGGCAGTTGCAACTATGAGACTGTGTTTATCGATGAACGTGGCGAGTGAGACAACGACAATAGGTCAGATTGAGGCATTGATGAACATATATGAAAAACTCTCTATCATAAACAAGGTATATCTCGTGGGTCAACTCTCTATGAACAAATATTTCAACATTCGAATGGATGACAAGACATGGGTCAACTCTCACATAATGAGGTCACTAATCTGATCACTTAGTTGGCATCTTCGAAGATTATGTTTAGTGATGAGATAAATGCTATAGCATTGCTTACTTATGTTGGGTTTTATGCATTAAACTCGTGGATAGTTAATGAAATCAATTTTTATTTATTCAATAAAGTCGTTATTGAGGTTTATTTTAGCATTGTATTGACCMAAATCCAATAAACTAACATATGAGGTTATTTAATGTAACTGAAATAGTATATAATTGATATGCATGGTATATAATTGATATACATGGTATATAGTGGATATTACGGTCGGATTATGTTCCAGTAATAACCTAGATAGTCTATAGTATATGGATAAGATTGGGTACCTCATCCTGGTAATACAATGGATATGATMCACTATCTAAAAGTTACAAATGACTCGATCCAAGTCGTTCGTGTGGAGACATGCAATACAATGAGGTTGTATAAGATCGGACCACGAAATTATTAATCTTTAGTTGTAACACCGTTAACTAATTAGATTAAAATTTCATAGGATGTGTATTATGGACTTCTTCCTACGAGGGATTGCCTCTTGATTTGTATGGGTGAGAGTGACCTGGTGCTAGCGGACTCAATAGGCCTACCACTTTAGAGACAAGGCCAAGTGGAGAGCTGGGAACATAATAATACAATATGGAATTCACTCATTCCTAACTTTTTGGTAAGTAGATTAGTGCTGACTTCAGGATTTGAATAAGGAGTCCCACCCTCTCATTTACTCGAGAGGAACTTTTGTTTAATGGTTAGACCATAAATAGGTTGTTCATTAGAGGATCGGTGGTACTTAAGGTGAAAGAGATAATTTAGGGGTAAAACAGTAATTTGTCAACCTGAAGTTACAAGCACCCGTGAGGGATTGACTTATYGTTAATGGTCAATATCCATGGACACAAAATATCATGTTTTATCTTCACGTAATAATATATTTTTCTATTTATGGTAATTGCATTTTTTGGAAAGTGACCTGTTGAATTTATATGTTTGTTACAATTGATATCAAATTGATATGAAAATATTTATTTATCATTTTTTATTGATTCCAAAAGGGGGGAAGGTAGGAGAAAAATGAAATTGTTTTATTGAATATATTTTTTATGTCACTTTGAAGGTATTTTTCTTAAATGGTTTGTCATCATAAAAAAAGAAAGATTGGTTGGCTCAACGAGTTTCAATCATACCATATGTTTTAATGACAACAAACTTAATCTATTTATGATTTTAGTGTTTCAAAGTATCCATAATKTAGAGCTTGAAAAGACAAATCAAACGCAATTTAAATCGCTGAAATTAGAGTGCAAATGAAGAAGTTATGATCGAARTAAGTTGAAAGAGAAATACCTTAAATGATGATGTAGGCAGATCATATGCTGATACATGACGAGCTGAATTATTAAAAAGAAAAAAAAACAAAAGAGAGAAAGAGAGAAGGGAAAAAAAAGAAAGAGAAGAAAAAGACATTAGTTAGAAGAAGGCAAAAAAATGTTACAGTTCGAGAGAGAGAAGTATTCTTATTATTGTTAATGGTGAATTTTGGAGAGGTTCACATGTCMCTCGGATGAGAGTGTTCACCGAGGAGCAAATGAGCCTGCAACTAGAAAACTCGACGTTGGTGCGGTGTCCCGCCTAATACACTCTGACGCTCAAGTCAGTAATCRGAGTGAGAAAATAGGAGTAGACACCTTGAAGTTTAAGTGACAAGTTTTTCACTTACTTGGTGTTCGTGGGAGTCCTTTTATATAAGCGCAGATGGCCAACCACGAAGGATAATGGTTGTGGACGTACAAGTGCCCTGAGCTGTATGAGGTTCTGACCGAGGGATGGATGTTCTCGACAAACAATGGGTGGTGCCTTCATCTKTAGGTCCGTAAACCTATAGCTTGCAGGTTTCAGGCTATAGTCCTCGACGTCTCCCCTGTATAGTGGTGGTGGCGGCGAGTCCTGTACGTTTGTACGGAGTACGGTGATAACTATCTATGGTCCCATGTTTTGCTGTCACTCCCGGATTTCTACGCGTGTCCTGTTCGAATTTCTCCCTCAACAATTATTATTATTATTATTATATAGTTTATAGTATATTATAATATAATCATTACTTTTTCAAACTAAATTTCCACTGTTCATTCTTAATCTTTAAAATCCAATAGCCCAAATTAATTTTAATTTCAATTCAATTCTTACGCTTTTTCCTCTCCTATTTAAATTCCTTTCCTATCCCATATCTTAACAAAACAATTTTTCTTATTTCTCAATCCTCCATGATCCATTGTTGCTCTCTCCAATCTCTCAATTTTTACTTTCATCTTTACTATTGTGAGAGATTTTCTTGTTGTGAAGAGTTGAGTTAGTTGTAAGCTCATATTTGTAATTAATCTACTTTATTTAAGAATTTTAGTGGGTGAAAAATCATTATTTCCATATTTATTTGGGTTTTGTTCTTGAGCCCGGTAAAAAGAATAGAGTATGKGTTTTGATCTTTGTCTYAGAGAAAAAGGTTTGCTTTAGTTCTAGATCTCGTAAAAAAAGCGRTTTGTAAGATTTGATCTTGATCCCGTAAAAAGGTCGGGTTTGCGATCTTGCACCAAAAAAGGATCATGTTTATTGGATAATCTCGACAGTTGTTTAGGGAGTACTAGAGTAGGCGACAGTTGGTCGAGCCATTATAAATCTTTGTGTGACGTTTTCTCTATCCCTATACTTTTTATTTATTGCAATTCATTTTTCAAGTATGTTTTCTTTTATTGCAAATAATTATTGTGTTCATCTTGAATATTTATTTTGTGATATTTTGGTTGGTATAAATGTTGCATAAATTATTTTTGCTTAAATAGTTTACTTAGTTATTTGATGTGTGCTTAAATTCGAAARAATTTAGTAAATTGATCTTCAACACTATTCTCTCACTCTCCAATGTTTCCATACCGATCCAACACTGCCATACGGACCCAACAAAAGTGACATCGAAGAAATTGATCCTCTCATGGATTATGATCTCAACAATCCTACATGTGATACCTAACCTTATTGAGCAATGACTCAGTCATTCTCGATTAAAATAATAATAATAATAATAATGAATGTAGATATTTCCAGTTTCTTGTACATTCTCACACATATAATTTTCTTTCCATCTTGTACAAGTTTCTCATCAAAATCTTAATGGAGGAGTTGAAATAAGGGATCCACGATTTAGAAGAAAAAAAAATTGCTCTGTTAATTAGAAACATCTTGGCAGTGGACCGATGAGAGTAAGCTCGTATTATCATTATCTTATACTCCTCATCACTTTGAGATGACTATAATCTAGAAAGTAGGAGACGACATTAGAGAAGAGATTAAAGATTATTATTATATTAGTTATCCAAAGAAGATGAAGTCGAAGAAAATCCCGCACAAGAATTGGGTACGTGTTTTTGTAACTACTTTCATTTATGGTTTTGTTCTTCTACTAAAGTAATTTATTTTAGTAATATGTTTTTTACTTTGTTCACTTTATTATTATAGTTTGTGTGTAGTGTTTTTATTTTTCAGCTTTATGTCATAAATAGATTTGATATAGATATGAAGCCATCAGGGTCCTTATGACGGCCAATTCATATATGCTATTTTCTCAATTATTGTATTGTATAAATGACTTTACGGGCATATTTCARCTAATTAAAATCTATATTTTTGACTAAAAAGTTATAGTTTCGAATTCCTACACCCACGTGTTGAACTAAAAAAAAGTATTAAATAATATTAAATATATCCCATCAACATGTTAGACAACATTTAAAATTTATATTATCTCAAAAAAAAAAAAAAGAAAGCAATATTGAAATCTCATGAGTAAAATTATAAGTATGCTTTTGAAATCTAAAGATGAACCGAAAATTAAACTCTATTTCCTATAAATACTCCCCCTTTCTTTCTTGTCTTTCATATCTCCGCRGCAAAAAATTTATTGTTCCTCATTTGCAGGTAACTAATTACTTGATCTCTTCTATCTTTTTATTTCCTCCCTCCTTTATCTTTCTCTTTCCAGTTTCCTGATCTAAGGTTGTTCTGGATGTTACCAACTTTGTTAAATGTCTCTCTTTCTCTTTCCATGTTCAACTCAATTCAAGAATAATCAAATAGAAATAGAAACTAAATCCAAAGTCTAGGAGGACTAAATAAAAACTAAATCCAAACGCTAATGGAACCAAACTTTAAAATTGAGTTGAAACAAAGAGTATAATTTGCTTTCCCTTTTCATCTTCTTCTTTTGTTGTTTCTGAAAAAAGTTATGACATATTTTGAAATGTGGGCGACACTGTTGAGTCTGTTTTAGTGTGGTTCCACTTGGGTTGTGTAGGGTGAATTGAGAATTGAGAAGTAGAAGCGTTTGAGAAAATTTCAGAGTGACCTTTCGTCAGATCTACAATCAGAATCTGGTTTCTGTATCAATTTTGCTTCTCCTTCACAGCCAAATTCACATCATGCTTCTTCATCCAATCACCAAGTGCAAGTTACTATTGAAGTTGAACACAACTCCACTCCTCCGCCGGCCACGGCTGACGATCGTCCATGGGACCCCACTCTGGCTTCCACCGACGACATGAACAAACTAAAACTAGAAGGTACAATTACCACACTTTTCCAAATTTAAGTTTCTTTTTGGTTAAAAAGCCTTGTTCATATAGTCGTTTTACCTTGAAAATATTCATTCAGGTCTCTATTAATTTTATCCTATACTTTGTTTAGATCATGTACTTGTAAAAGATTGATTTTTGATGTCTACTTTAAAAAGAATCATTTTAGTCCATTTTTATAAAATTTTAACACAAATTTAGAAACTCTTTAGTATAAGTAATGTTTACAGATTTATAAATATATTGATTCTAGTATCACGTTGAAATTATGGGAGAAAAAATATTCGGATCAAAATGAACATTTTGAAAATATTTGGACTAAAACAAACATTTTGAGAGCACAAGGACCAAAATGAATATTATTGTCTGCTTTGGGTATAACGTCGTCGTTGTCGACGTTTAAACCAAAAAGCCTCATACCGATAGAGATAATTGTTTTTATCTATATACCAGAGATGATAAACTCTTTTCTTTAATCAATGTGAGACTTTATCATCAACATTTGAAAAAAAAAAAAAGGGGATTTTAAAATTAAAATTATATTTTATATCTGAAACATTAAAACAAAATTAGAAACTCTTACAAAGACTTTATTAAGAATAACTTTATTAAAACCTGTGTGTTTGTATTATACGTTAGAAATAGAAGCGATTGAACGAATTAATGTATTGTTTTGTGTATAGTGGACAAAATAGTAGATATTGTGCGGAGTAGAATGATTCTGTACCAAGCTGCACTGATGGGTGAGTGGCAAGAGGCTGAATCTGTTATCAATAAGTACCCATATCTATTACGAGCATCGATAACAAGAGACAATGACATTGCCCTTCACATTGCTGCGGGAGCCAAGAACAGTGATTTCGTGGAGAAGTTGGTGGGTTTAATGGACACTGACGACATTGCCATACAAAACAAGGATGAAAGCACCGCCTTGTGCTTCGCTGCTGCATCGGGAGTGGTAAGAATTGCAGAGCTAATGGTAAAAAAGAACAAAAATCTTCCACTTATTCCTGGCTTCAACAACACAACTCCACTTTTCATGGCAGTATCCTACAAACATAGAGAAATGGCTTCCTACCTCTGGAGTATCACTGATATCAAACAGCTAACTTCCAAAGAAAAGAGTGAACTTCTTATTGCCGCCATACACAGCGACTTTTATGGTAATAACTTACTTTTTTTATTTATTTGATCTTAGTTATGAATTATGACGTTGGATTATATTAATATTCATGGGTTGAATCTCAAATATAATGGATGGTTTCTTTTGGCTCATCAATCTTGGTCGGATCGGATCTCATTTTTGAATTGGATACTCGGGACTCTAATACCATATTAATATTGATGGAGCTCTACCATATTAAGTCCCCTTTCTTTTCAATATCTGATTATTGGCTTATATTATATTTTGTACGTGCACGGATATATGTTGGAAGATTTATATGGAGTCAGATCCAAAAATAACAATGATGAAAAATGCGGATGATGAGACAGCATTACATGTCCATCAGCATGCGGTATAAAAAGGCAGCTAAACATTTGGGAAAAGTTCATCCACGCTTGTTAGTTTGTTTTTGTCTCTTAATGAATGTTCAAAGACCTAATTTCCTTGATCTTTAATTTTGACCATAGGCATCAAAGGAACCAATAGCAAAGATGTGGCCAAGACAGTAATTCCGCGTGCACTAGATTATATGATCTTATGGCAATTTGTTCTCCTAGATACTCCAATACTTCCACAAACATTACTGCATGATGCTGCAAGGGCAGGAAATGTTGAGTTCTTGATTCTGATTATTAGCTCATACCCAGATTTTGCATGGGAATGTGATGATGATGGTAAGAGCATATTTCACATAGCTGTTGAAAATCGACTTGAAAATGTGTTCAATCTGATACACGAGGTTGTTTCGCTGAAGGAATTCTCCTCAAAGTTTAAATCAGTTATAACTGGAAAGTACAACATACTGCACTTAGTTGCAAAAATAGCTGCTCCAAACCATCTGAACAGGGTCTCCGGAGCAGCCCTTCAAATGCAACGTGAACTGCTTTGGTTTAAGGTACTGTACTTACTTTTTTAATTAACTATGTTCTTAATTCCGATCCGTTCATCACATTTTAAGCTTAAACTTAAACTAGTCGGATTTAAGGAGGTGGAGAAGATAGTTATGCCTTCCCAACTGGAGGCAAAATGTGATGATCAGTTGACGCCACGTGAGTTATTCACAGAACAGCACAAAGATCTTCGCAAAGATGGAGAAGAATGGATGAAAAGTACAGCAAACTCCTGCATGCTTGTTGCAACTTTGATTGCCACTGTGGTTTTTGCTGCAGCCTTCACAGTTCCTGGCGGCAGTGATGATAATACGGGCATTCCTATTTTTCAACGAAAGCTGTGGTTCAATGTATTTGTGATAATGGATGCCGTTGCTTTTGTCTCATCTTCAACCTCCATTCTSACGTTCATGTCTATTCTAACTTCACGCTATGCAGAGGATGATTTCTTGCACTCACTGCCCTCCAGATTGCTCTTTGGACTTGCATCATTGTTCATCTCCATTGTTTGCATGGTTTTGGCCTTCAGTGCAACCTTCTTTCTGATCTACCATCAAGTCAACATCCAAGTTCCAGCCATGATTGTTGCAATAGCAATGGTTCCAGTTAGTTGTTTCTGTTTCCTCCAATTTAAATTGTTGGCTGATATTTTTCGCAACACTTACTTGTCTAGATTTCTTTTCAAGCGTGGTCCACGTAAATTGCTCTCAACATCTTATCTTCGATCTTAGTCCATGAAGACGTCGGTGCAGCTGATTCTTACTTATTGAATTCTGATATGGAATCATGCATCATATATATATACATTTATATAGGTACATTCAATCAAAAAATCAATGCAACAATGTGTGTGGACTCCCAACTATTTGTATTTGAATTATGATGTGTTTTACTTTAATTCACTTTAATATCATTTTCTAGAATATTTGATTCCGTTGTATTTGCAAGATTGTAGAAWTTTTTGGCAAATGTTATAATGGTTGCTTTTGACACTCAATTTTTTCTCAAGTAYCTCAGTATTTTACCTAGTTGTTGATCACTCCATCCTGAAATTTTGCATGTTTCGTATTTGATATTTGAAATTGTTGTATTGATCACTAGGTCGTGCAATACATTACTGATGAATCGCTTGATGAGGACACTTAATTTTGACAAAAGTATTCGTATTATGGATATTAATGTAAGTATTGCTTCCACTTACCATCTTGCATATGAGTCTTTGAAGGTAAAAAGCTTAACTTTATAACTATAGATTCTATATAAACCTTATTCCTATTTTTCTGTTATATCTGTCTTATTGCGTGTAGCTTTGTGTATTGGACATTGGGTTATATTTAGAAATATTATTYTGAATGATCTTTCTCTATTGAATGTAGGAATCTATATATTAATAAYCCCAGTGACATTAGAGATATACATTAATCTTCGGGAGGGGAATGACAGAACTTTAATTACTTAGAGTTATATGTGTAGGAAGAAGTGAACCACTTCCTTCATATATGTTTGATATTGCATTACCCTTATCTATATACCATGGATGCATTTAGAATTGACTTTTTTTTTCCCTTATATATTTCTAGCTTATTCATTTTACCCAATCGGATCTYGTTATCTTGGTTAGGTCTTGCACCAACTTAAAGAAGTAAAGAACTATGAATGTAACTAATTGATTTATGAACTTTTCTGTYAGGTTAGTGTGTGAAAGATATGTTTCAGTCCACTCCTCTCAGGGTAATTGTAGTATGTGTAAAAAATATTGTAATAGCAAATTTTATCATACTTAGTTCGTATACGTATATGAATACGTGGATTTTATTATACAAAATTTTGTTATATTTTGGAATTTACAAGTATAAGGGAATGCAATGTTAGTGAACAAACTATGTCATTAAATTTATTGGGCGGYACTAAAACACRATACTATTGTGTGACACTAAATCTATTGTGAATGTAAAGGTTTTCATGACAAATAATATCTATCAATATAAAGGTTTTCGTGACGGTAAAAAAATTTCAATAAAATGTTTTCGTGACGGTTAAAATTTGTCACTAAAAATTTTTAGTGACAGTAAAAAACCGTCATTGTTACATTCATATGATGAAAATTGACTATATTTTGACGTTTATTAACTGTCGTGAAAAAGTTCTTGTGACGTTTTTTTAACTGTCATTAATTTCGTTTTTTTTTGTGACTTTCTTCTATCCATCATTAAATCCCTTTTCTGTGACGTTTTTTTTAATCTACCATTCAATTCCTTTTCCATGGTGTTTTTAAACCGTCATGAAATACCTTCTCTGAGATGTTTTTTAACTATCATTAAATCCATTTTCCGTGATGTCTATAATTCCTCGTCACAAATGCTCTTTCGTGATGGTGGACACTACATGATGCTAGAAAAAAACGTCATGAAATCATTTCGTGACGTAGTCACGGAAATCCAAATTTCTACTAGTGAACTCTACCTCTTTTTACTTTATGTTGATGATAATGCTTATAGCTTGTAAAGATAAAACCAAGATAGATAGATTGAAGGAAGAGTTGGGCTCAAAATTTGAAATGAACGACTTGGGACAACAAAAAATATTCTAGGTATTGAAAATTCAAGAGATTTTAGAATCCTAAATATTTGTTTCGGTCTCRAAACGAGTACATTTCAAAATTGTTGAGCAGATTTAATATGGCTAATTCAAATGGAATGAAAAGTCCATTAGCTCCCATTTCAAAGTAACTATGGAATAGTGTTCAAGGTMTAAATAAGAAAAGGAAAGATATGGACAATATTTTGTATACTAGTGTTGTGGGGATCATTATTCAATATCTAAATGGAACTAGCAGGTTTACCATATACTGGAGATTACGTAC